AAGCATATCTAAATGGATGATCCAAGGTTCCTCCCTTTCTCTCTCTCTCCTTCCTTACGAACTAGGGTGTATATATATGTGTATATTATATATCATGATACTTTCTAGTGATCATCATTAGAATTATAATCTCTTCTACTTCTGAAAGGATCTGATATTGTGGAAGAAGAAGAACCAAACTGCATGGGCAATCTCAGAAGCTCCTCTTGTTGTTGAGTAGATATCATTGAAACTTGAGGAAGATTATTATTATCTAACCTTTGATATTGTCCTCCATAAAAACTTTGTGGATCATTATAACTTACATTAGTAGTAGTACTATCTCCAGTACTCTGAATAAACTGACCATACTGAAAAGCTGTGTGATATTGATTAGGATATTGTGTAATTGGCGGATAATAAGGAGGATTTGTTGCAGTATTGGCTGCGGAGTCTTGATTAATGAGAATATTATTGGTGGTAGTACTGAAGTTACTATAACCTAATTCAGTACTAATACTAGTATTAGTAAAAGTTCCACCTTGAACCCTTTCTGGGAAGTTAAGCTTAGCTTTGCTTCCTTTGAACCTTAGGGCTGCTTCGTCGTACGCCAGAGCTGCAGCCTCCGCCGTATCAAAAGTACCAAGCCATACTCTCGCCGCCTTCTGCGGATCGCGAATCTCCGCGGCCCATTTGCCCCAAGGTCTTTGTCTCACTCCTCTGTAGTGTCTTCTAGTAATAGTACTCCTTGTGTTCCCTTCAACATGTAATGTGTACGTGTTCCAAAACGAATTTTATATGCATAACTTTGAACTCACCAGTCGTCCCTTAATAGGGTTAAATTATTTATATACATCAAATAATTTCAACAATTTAGTTTTAACTAGAAATTAATTGTGTCATTTAAATCCAAGGGACCAGATGATTTTATATATACCGATTGCGCCCTTCGTCCCTTTTATGCAAAATTAACGAGAAACAAATTGAGTAGTACTAGCAAGCAAGAATAAAAGACATAAATTTTGACGATTTCACAAAATAATTGACAAGTGAAACGTTAAAATTTCTTATGCAAATCATGAACATATGTAAAGAAGGTAAATTATATATAGAACTCATGTGAAAGACGCGTTTGACACCTATAACTTTATTGAATATTTAGGTCTGAAAGCAAATAAAAATGGGGCTGAGAAAAAGGAAAAAAAAATGATTCTGAAATTAAACAGAAGCAAATAGCTAAATAGAAATTAAAAACCCTAAATCCCATGAAAGAGATATGTGAATCATCATAGGAAATAATTAAGTTCAATGTTATAATTTATATATTCATTTCACGAACAAAGAAAAAGGGTTTTGGACAAGAAAGTTACACCAATAATTAAATTTTGATCCGATATATAGGATGTGTATAATTACCTTGATCTTCTTGGAGAGGCTGGGCCATGCCGGAATTATCGGTTGTGATTGAAGGGTTTCCATGCATTTGAAGAGGGTGAGATTGGTGTTGACCAACCATATGATCATTGCTACCCATAACTCTAGAAAGGGATGAAACTATGGCAGACATGTCTTGTTGGGATCGCGCCGAGTAGACGGGGAAGAGGAGATGATCTTCGGCGGCCTCTTTCTCCTCCGATTCATGATGATCGGAAGGAAAGGGCCTCTTTCCATGTGCTCTTCGATCCAGTTTGTTAATTTGTTATTTACACCCTTTTGATACTCCAATAATAGTGTATTTTGCTTTGCTAGATGACCATGTTATGTAGGCATGCAATTGAACGTAACTAACCTTTTTATCTAAGATAAAAAACAAGTTATCACCTTTTCTCCCAATAGATAGGTTTTGCTACGATATGAAAGCAAGAGATGAAAGAATAGAAAAGATCGAGTAGTGAGGGAGGAATGGAAGGAAGATAGGGTTAATTTGCTACAAAATGTGTTTATATATCTATCCTGGCTAGTGTGAACATGTTGACTCAAAATGGCAAATGCAACATATTCCATATAGTTCTTTTTTTCTTTATTTTCTATCTTTTTCTTTATTTTATTCCATTTCTTTTCTTGCCTTTTATAACTTCAAGTGTCGAAGACACACATCTAGGGACAGTTCAAAAAAGGTACAACAGTTAAAAATAAGTTTCGGTTAATTTTACTGGTGCCTTTAAGGTCTTTCTTAATTTGTATCCTAAATTTTAAAAACTCTCATTTTACCTACCTATCTTTCGAAGCTTAGATTGGCTTGAAAATAAACCCTTTGGTCCAACACCTTGGGCCAGTTTAGTAGTGCTGTAGATTTTAAAAAAATTTGCTTTTAGATGTGCTAAAGGAAAAAGTAATTGTTACAAAAAGCGGCCGAGTATTTGGTAAACTGTAATTATACAAGTGATGCTTGTTCCAAAAATAGTGTAACAACGTTTGGTAAATTGTGAGGTTGAATTGCTGTGAATAGTTAAGATAACCGTAATTAATAATCTTAAATTAATATATAAAGTAATTAATAATTGATAATCATTTAGAAAATAAAAATTAATACATTAATAATGTAATAATAATGGATTATCATTAATGAGTACATTAATAATTAATATATATAATAAATTAATATGCTAAATATTTAAAATTAGTAATTAGTAATTAATTATAAGTAATTACTGTACTCATATTTTTTAGATTATAAGTAATTCATTAGTGTATTAAGAAAAATAATTAGTATATACATAATTTATTAATATTCCTTTTACTACTTAAATTATTAACTTTTAGTTACATAATTTAATAATTATTTAATTAATTACTAATGTTTATTTAATAACCTATTATTTGATATATCACATGATCAATTTTTTGTAAGTATTATGATTAATTACTAATTATCAATTATTATTTATTATTTATTAATATATTACATATTGATAATTATAATTTAATATTAATTATTAATTGAGTAATTATTATTATTTTTATTTACCAACTATTTACTAATTAATAGGTTATAATTAACATAATATATGATTGATATATTAATTATTCATTATGTAATTACTATCTATTTATTAGTTATTAAGTATATCTATTTATTAATTATTAATTAATATATAATATAATTAGTAATTAATAATTAATTATTTAATATAACTTTGTTGATAATCATTAATCGTACTATGTTGATTCCCGAACAATCTAAAAACTAAAAAGGCATTTCGGCTGTTTCTGATTTTGGTTGCAGATTCTTCAAAAATTCTTTAAAAATTATTTTTTATGGTTTTTACCAAGCACCATTATCAGCTTCTGATGACTAGAAAAGTGATTTTGGGCTCTAAGAATCACTACCAAACACACCTCTTATATGAACATGTCAAGTGACTAGTCTACTTGTTTTTCTAGAATAATGTTCTATTTTTGCCCGGACAGTTTAAATCATGTCAGTTTTACTCCACACTACTAATTAGGCATGCGCAAAACAAATGTTTCAACATGCAGCATCGTCACGAGAAAGATACAAAATAACTATCAACGAGTTGATGACTCAAATATTTTCGAAGACAAAATATAATTATAAAAAAGATATATATATCTAAGAAATATATTTAAAAGAAATTAAGTATGTTAATACGGTTCAAATATTTTTATCTTAAATTATAGATATAATCCATATAGGGGAATGCATGTATGAGAATCAGGAACAGGAAAAAAAAAAAAAAAAAAAAAAAAAAAAAAAAAGGAGCTCGAGTTTGGTTCCAAGAGCATCAATATAGGTTTATCCAACCCAAATATTGCAATTTCTACAAATAGCATAAATTTCACACCTAACTCTAACATGCTATATTGCTATGTAGTATATAGAGTCGCATAAAATTCCTCCATCCAAAGCTCCAAAAATAAATAAAATAAAATAAAAAAAAGGTAATAGGTGTGCAAATGGCGATTCAGTTCGTGGGCTGCGTCATTTTATTTGGAATGTTCACAAATGTTTCAAATGTCTATAGTTTGTGGTATCTGAAGTCAAACTGAAAGGACAAATAAGAAGACTAATGAAGAATCCATTGACTTCCATCTTCTACGCTGCGTTGGGTCAAATTTTTTGATTGGATGGGTCAAGTAAAGATCACTTTTTATTGTGTCAAGTATCACGAGATTAGCGTTTCAAATAGAACATTTTGAATTATTCAACAGTTATTTGCATTAGGGCACTCATTGGTAGGAGAAAAAAGTGAAAGGAGGAATAGAAGTAGGCGAATTAGTGATGGATTAAAAACTAATGCTTGTTTAGCAGATTTTAATTTTGAGGAGTGAATTGATTGGCTGAAAATCCACCACAAAAGAAGAATTTTGATCCTTCTAAATTTGTAAGGATTGATCCTTCTAAATTTCGTATTCCTTCTCTTCCAATTTTCTCTTCGAAACACAGCTTAAAGGAAAATCTTTTTAGATGTTATTTCTCTTCGAAACACAGCTTAAAGGAAAATTTTTTTAGTTTAAAAAAAAAAAAAAAAAAAAAAAAAAAAACCTTGTTATTATTTCTCTCTATGCTTTGCTAGGTAAGATGTAATAGTAAAAGGAGGGAAATAAATGAGAATATAAATAGAACTTATGACTTGCTAGTAGAGGAGGGAATTAATTGATAATTGATTGTTGGATTCATAATTTTTTACGTGATTTTAACTTGAAATATTCTTAAGAGTACCGCTGGTACTAAATACTATCACTAAAAAGTAAATTTTATCTGTAAGTGCCATACTGTGGGATTTAGGTTCAATTAGTGGGTGATGCTTATTCTATAGCATTGCTCTTTTTAACTTAGATCCCTCTTTAGTTTGAAAGATTGGAGAATGGAATCCATGCCATGCCAAACACAATCCTTCTCGTTTTTCTCAACTATGTTGCATACCTTTCTTTCATAATTTTTATCTCTCCCCAAACTGGCTCTAAAGAGAATTATGTCCTGGATCGTTAAGAATGTAGCAGGAGGAAGCTTTGCAGCGCAGAAACAGTTCGTAAAGATAGCTAAGACCACAATCAAATTTATTTGAAAAATATGCACTCAAAATTCAAAAGGTCTCGTATACAAGAGAAATTGGAAAGGAATGCTGCCTCAGCAGTCACACAGGCTAACTTCAGGATTTTACCCTAAAATTCATGAAAACCTATTGCCAAAAGCTCTTGTAGACATATCAAAAGGAAGTTTCTAAATTTCCAATTTCGTATCACCAATTTTTTCCGATCGCCGATTTTGAGAAAAGTTATATTTTTCTACCCTACCTTCTTCATTTCTTTTGTGCCCGTAATCCTTCGAGGACAAATGGATCGAATGATTTCTTCGCGTGGAGCTTTTTACAGAGTCTGCACAAGGCCACCAGAAACTTTTGTAGCCATCGGATCCCAAATGTTTGATTATACAATGCGAAATGATTCTTCTTGGTAAAACCATGGGATCTCACCACGCGATACGAGAAGAATGTTTTCAGAATGCATGAAGATCAATAACAGAATTGATTTTCATATATACAATCTTCAATAATTATACGTTTGGTTTAATATCTCTTGTTCGCATGTAGGTCAGAAATTGAGTAGGCAATTCTGCTAGAAGTGCTTGAACAACAGAAACTTGGCCACCTGAAAAAGAAAAGTTAACTACTTGCCCAGAAACAGTTGCCAAGAGTTCCATTTAAAGTTAGTTTAGGAGATTCGAGTGACAGCGAGACTCACCGTGTACATCACGCAATGGAACAAACTGGACTATATCACGTGAGGCAACTCGTCCCGTTGAGCTTTCGAGTCTGCCTCCCTTGTCAGCATCTAAGATCTTCATAAAAATGCAGCAGAGATGGATCAGTTTCCAGTCAAGTACGTATGTTGCAGTAAAACTTTGTAGAAGCCGTCAGTATTGAACCAAGAGAAGTGAAAAAGATACCTCCATTTCTTTGAAGTCAGCTCCTCCGACCCCAACAATGAGGATAGAAAGCGGTAGATCAGATGCTTTAACAATGGCGTCTTTGGTTTCTTGGAGATCCGTTACTACTCCATCCTATAAGAGCTTTCAACTTTTAGAAAAACAGCAAGAGGAACTCAACAAAATGGAAGATAGGAACCATAAGAGTTCCATAAAAGATATTTATTGTGCACAAGTATAATCTAATTTTGAAGTAATATAGAATGGTTCAAAATGGAGGAGAAAAGGGAGCAAAAATTATAATAGATATAGGGCCAATTTGGCATTGTTGTGATATTGAAAATTTTTGTTGCTGTTGTGTTGTTAGTAATAAGTTGCTGTGACCAGAAGCATATAGGTGTTTGGCAAATATTTTTACAAAAATGCTGTAAACACCATAAGCAGAAATTTAAGTATTTACTAAACTGTGTATAAAATTGTTATGGAGATGTACAATGATGAAAGTAGACATACTTTAGCACATATTTATAGTTAGTTTTATCTCTATTTTAAGATCAATATTCAAGATATTAAAAAAATATAATTTTAATTTTAATTTTATTAATTAAATTATTTATTAAAAATTACTATTATTGATAGGGAAAAGTTATTTATCTACTAAATTTCTTATTTATTGTTGTTATTTTAAATATTCTGATAATTACTAAAAATATTTGAATAAAATTTAGCAAGTATACTTGTTAAAGATTTTCAATTTTAGATAACTATTTTAAAAATATATGTTTTTTAATTTAGTATGTAAAAAGTAAAATAAGTAGATTTAGAATGAAGTTTTATTATTAAGGTTATCTTCATAAATTTGGACAGTGGCAGCAGAAGCTGCTGTGCAAAAGCAACTCCTAACTTACTTCTCAAATTCTGTTGTTTGACAGCAGCTTTTAGAAGCTATTGGATATAAGCAGGATTTACCAAACACCCTAACCTATTGTAACTTCTTTAAAAAAGCTAAAAGCAATTTCTAAAAGTAATGCTAAACGGGCCCATAGATTACCAATTAAAAATTTAAATGCCATCTAAATAGAACATTAAGAATAAAATGGAATTCCCAAAATATCGTGCAAAATGGTGGTCTTACCGTGATTATTAACAAAACAAAGTATTTTCGGCCACCATTTGCAAGAGACTGGCTCGCAATCGATGCAGCATAACTTATCACGGGTCCAAAAAGAGTTGGCCCTGCAAGAGAAACATTACGCAGGGCGCTCATATATGCCATCATAATTCCATGAATGCCTTCGACCTGAGATAATGACATGTATGCTCAGAAGGGAGACATACAGTGAGTAAGATTAAACATCCAGAAAGGAAAGAGAGTTTAGGTCTTGAACCAATCAACCTCATAGTAATGACTACTTCCATTCAAGTAGAAACAATGAGACACAGGACCGTCAATCGGGCGGGCTCCAAAACCCCAGGCAGGAAAGCGCTTATCTGTATCGTAAAATTTTAACACTTCGCCAACCTCTGAAATTGCCTGGACAATAGTTGGGGAACTATTATATTGGTTCTTTAAAAGAAATAACGTTTTCAAAACATTTAAAAAGAGGGATTTGTTCTCACTCTCTGGTATGCATTTGGTCGTCCTGACGGATCTATATAATGCAAAGAATCAGGCAGGCGAGGATTTCCATTTGAAGCTGATGAACAAGGAATCAACTGAGTTATTTAGAAATTGGAATATATTGCCGCCTAAAGGCCCCAAAGACTTGAGATCAGTTCTGTACTTCAGTAAAGAGCAGTTTTCTTTTGTGATGATGAAAATACAAGACAAAATATAAGAAAAGAGAGACAAAATGGGACTTCAAGACCAAAATCACTACACATCATAGAATACCATCTTCTAATTATGTTCTACCCAAAAAATAATAATAATAAAAAAAACATCTTGCATTTATGATAGTATCTGTAAAAGAGGACCTGTGAAATCAATAGCCACCATAAAGTTCAATTCAAATCCCCCGGCCAAGTAATCCAGGAAAGTATGTTGGACACTCTCTGTGAACTTGTCAACAAACAGACGGCTCTTTAGTACCTGCATTAGAAGCTAGCAAATAAGCAAACAAAAAGAAAAAGAAAACTCTAGATCAATATAGATGTGGCTTTTGTTGTAAGAACCTTGGTTTCAAGAGGATGACCATGACCAACAGAACTTGGTATGAACAGATTTTCACCTTGCTTACTGCGGTGAAGTTTTTCCAAGTCTGCTAGTGATTTTTCAACTTTTCTGATCAACAGAAAATAAGCGGGATTCTTTAGGGTCCTTCCAAACCAAATCAGGAAATCAGAAACCGGGAAGGCAGAAGAAATGGAATAGTCTTACCCAATCAAATCATGTTTCCCATTGCTATTGAAATTGAAACACTCTATTATGAGTCCTTGGTCCTGTTCAAATCAAGGAAAAAGTAAAATGAAACCTGTTGATAACCAGAAAAGGAAGCATACTTGCTGCAAGTAACTAGAACCTTGCTGCTGCAAGCAAGTGGAACCTTTCTTTAAAAAAGATAATCAAAACTTTACAAGAATATTGCTGTAGAAGTGTTCTCGAAGTTAAAATGAGCAAAGGGAATGCTATAACAGAAATGCTTAAACAAAGGATTTCCAGAGCAATAACAGCTTTCAAATCAAAATCGATGGCAAAATAAAAATGTAAAAAAGCAAAGCGCTGAGAACCACTCTAAAGTTTTACGAATGCAAATGGCTACCCTTTAATAAGTGCAGAAGAAATGAAGCAACATAAAATACAAGTTAAATGAACCAGATTTCTGATTATAATTTATGCAGAAAAGGGGCTGGCTAGAAGGGCGGGGAATATTTTATCAGATGTCAAATGGAAAAAGTTATCCGTATGGACTTGTATCGACATATTTGTAGGACCTGACCCAATGGGGGAGGGAACATTCTTATGATATTCATAGCAAAAAAGACTTGCCAGAAGAAGTGCCAAGAACTCTTTATAAGATAGAAAAAAAAACTAGAAGTCAAAGTTTGTAACATTCATATTAGACGCATTGACATTAAAACCCAACAAGCATACAGAAACTTGAGCTTTTGGTCTTAAAAAAAATAGTAACTATAATAATAATGATAATGACAATAACAGAGCAATGAACGTAGCAGAACTTGATTTGGGAGGCGGTGTGGGGGGTGTGTGGAGTATATATGACTCACCTTGCTTCCAACTTGTTGAATACTCAAAAATATTGGATTCCATTTTGGTTTGAGCTCATTCTTTATGACTTCTGTTTTGCAAACAGGAATCACGGCCCCACCCTCCACGATCTTTGATATTACCAAAAAAGGGTCCTACAAGACACACAAGAAAAAAAAAAAAAAAACAAAAAACAAAACATCCACTTGAATTTTTTCATTTTCAAACAATGCATGGAAATTATTAAATACTAATTCCAAAGAAAGGAGAGAGTAAGACGTAAGAAACCAGTAGTCCCTACACTTCTTGAGAAGAGATCCTTATATTCCAAGTCTGAACAACTTAATATCATTTCTATCGTAGTCTTTGAGCTAGCAGACTCCTCAGCATGCACGGTAATTTTTCCACAGTTTCGAGAATGATTTCCTCTGTTTGACTCTTCTCTGTGTAAAAGATCTATGGTCAATGACCTGTCTTGCCTAATCATTATCTGCATGAATAGAAAGAACATTTATGGAAAAGGACTTGAAATTTGCGATTTCCTACAGACACATGAGACGGCAGAGCTTTAGATGAAGTTAGTTTTGAATAAATAAGTTCCACTCACTTGTATTAGTAACCAAATATCCTAGAGCAAAACAGAAGCATGCTCCTTCCCTTTTTTTTCTTTTCCTAAAACAACACACCCCCCCTCCTGTTGCCATTTTTTCTCTGTTGCTATATTATCACATGGAGAGATACTTAATCTATGTGAGGAGATACTTAATCTATGTGAGGTTCTCTCTCTTAATACGGTGTTCCCCTCAACCACCTGTTGCAAAAACTAAACATGCAGTCTATGTATAGCATTCACGGAGGATTTCATTATATGACAACATTTTTTGTTTTTTCTCTGTAATATGGCAACTTGTTAATAAGTCGAATTGGTCTCTTGTATATGAGCCTCTCCCTCCAAAGCGGGGCACTCTTCCTTCCCACACCTCACCTTTTTAAAAAACTTGCAAGTTACAAGCGTTTTATCTCTTTAGAACATCAAAGAGGTTCTCATTATAAAACTAACTGGACGCAACAAGTTATCGCCAATCTCTATCCTTCCCATAGAAATAGCAAGCTTCCCACAGATCATCAAGTCCCAAAGACCCATCATGGAACTATAAAGGAAGTCGTCATTGTATCATAAACACAAATTGTATCATGGATCTTAAAGTCCCAATATGTATATTTTCACTACCGAACATTAAACAAGGTTTTCGTTGCATAAGAACTTCTATAGCAAGATTTTTTTTTCTTTTGAGGGAGAGAGAGCTATAGCTTTGGTTTTTCATCAAGTTTTTGTTTTTTTCTTTCCACTGTAGAACAATCTGAAAGTCGGAATTAGAAGAGCCTTGCAGCGAAAGAAAGTGAATATAAACCCATATATTTTTGTTATACCTCAGAGAGTGTACAAGTTCCCTCACCAAGGAATTGCTGCTCATCCAGCTTAAGCATCTGCACAAATAATCCATCCATAATGCTAGATACAAGTAAAGGAAGTAATAACTTCTTTCATCATCAATTAATAGTGATAATGATTTAAATAGAGATTGCTTGTTTCAAGCAAGCCGAGCATCATAAAATTGTACCTTCACATCAACATTGTGGAACTGAGTATCAACATCATACACACGAAACCTGTAACGAAAGAAAATCTTAGTTACTCATCATTGTGAAAGCAATAAGATGCACCTATGGTATGGTGATTTTTGACTTGGAAAGATGTGAAGTTTCAAAACTTACACCAAAGTCTGCACGACCTCAAAATGAAAAGCAATGGTCTGTTTTGTTATCCATGTAGGATTTATTGAATTCAAAACCACTTCTGTGCGACCGAGCTCCACAAGTGTCCCATCCCTTTCTTTTGTATAAATAACCACCATGGGGTCACTCTGAAATACAACAAAAACAAGAAGAAATAAAACGTTAATGGATTACAGAACAAACCCAACAAAAACAAATATAATATTTAGCCCTCAGCCCCCAACAATATAGCGCATGATGGTGAAGTTTAGCACATGATATTATTTATTCGGTTGTAAAGAAATGCCAGAATTTTTAGAAACAGGGATTGAAGACGACTCTGGGTATCATATCCTGCCTGCCAAATGCAGCCTAAACGTTTCTCCACCAAAAACAAAAGGAAAATCATGATGACATCCCGCCATCTACACACATTTAGTAGAACACTTTTCTGCTTCCAGGCTATCGCAAAAGGTCAATGAACATATCTGTCATGGATTGTTCTACCAGATGCTTGATAGTAATTGGGCTTTGCAATTTACAGTATGCCTTCTATCATCCTTTGACAGCCCTCTCAAAACTGAGTCCACTATTTTTGAATATCATTATATCACAAACATAGGATCAAGCATCATACAACTAGGCACTAAATATTAGCTTGGGTCTTAACTCTTTTATGCATTCTCCTTTTTTCATCTAAATAATGTCAAGATGTATGTTCATGCGATGTCTAATTAAAAATGTGGTACACCGACTATACAGATTATTGTTTACAGATAAGAAGGTGACAGAGACGAACAAAATTTGCATGTGCACATGAGATTAATCAATGGAACTATGTACTAAAAGTAAATAAAGAAAACTATTAATTAAAGAAAACTAATAATAAAAGATAAGAAACAAGTTCTAAGGCACAACAGAATTGTATCCAAGGAAACAATAAAACTGGAATTGATAAAAGCCTTGCAAATATTCGGAAATATTAAGATAGCCGGGTAAATAAATATTAATGATAATAAGTAGCTAATATATTCACTAGTAAAACCTAGTTTTTCCCACGAGGTTTTTAATGAGGCATATCAAGAATGCTATTTTCAAGGGGGGGGGGGGGTGGAGGGGGGTGGGGGGGGGGGGGGGGGGGGGGGGGGGGGCTTGTTTCGGCTCGACCTTATATCTCACCATTCCGCTTACCAAGTCCTCCAGAGGGCAATTTTCTCTTTGTTTTGTCTTTACGACTGTTTCTGTTTGTTGAGATTTTAAAATTAGCACATTTCACATTTTCTTCTTTACTGATGTGAGTTTGATAGTTTAGGCAGAAGATTAAATCCTAGGGACGGTGCCAACATAATCGATATTTGCTTAGTTCTTCTCATCTCAATTCCACCAGTATTATTTCCGGAAATAATAATAATAATAATAATAATAATAATAAACAACTGTAACAATTGTAAAGGCAATCAATCAAAGGTCCCTCGCATATAATATGAAGTTTAGCAACAACAAACCTTGGAGAACACATCTCGGTCTCGTAAGCCGGAAGCAGATAACGATAACTGCAAATTGATATTTTTGAACCAGAAGAAATGAGAGTCCAGAATTTAGTATATAAACACAATAAGAAATAAAGAAAAAGAAAGAGACAAACTCAAAGAATATAAATACTTATATTGCAGGCTGTTCATTCATCGGATGCAGAACTACTTTTTCAGGAACGTTATAGAAAATAGAATTTAAAATTTAAAACAAAACTTAAATATGCATATGATAAACAAGAAATGAGAAGGAATTCGTAAGTACTTTCAGTCACACAAGGCGCTAAATTTAGTAAAATTTGAATAGAATGGCTCGAATCCTGCCATGATCTTCGCATCTCAGAAATTCGCATTTCAGGGATAAGAATTTTGGGGAATCAGTGAACAAAATTCAGTATACAAATATCAATCTTGAATCTGCTCGTGCCGAACAGGAAGTAAGAGAAAAAAAAAATTGTAAATAATCTCAGTCAAACAAGACGCAAAATTTAGTCAAATTTCACAAGGAAGAACTCGAATTTCCTCACAATTCATTTCAGAAACCGCTAGATTCGCATCTCAGAAATGAAATTCAGAAAAATGAGTGTACAAAATTCAAAATTGAATCTGCTTATTGATCAACAAGAAGTGAGAAAGACTGCGCAAGTACTTACAAAAACAAGACACTAAATTTAGTCAAATTCCATCAGGAATAACTCCCAATTCGCTCAAAATTTTCACATCTCAGATATTATCGCATTCCAAGGATAAGAATTTTGACAAAGCAACTGAAAAATAGCAAGAGAATAAAATCCAAAAAACAAAAGAACAAATTCCGTAGCATCCGAATTGGTAATGCCACAGATCTCTGGCACAAGTTTCGCAACTAATTAAGCTCAAAAATCCGGCAAAAAAGAAAAAGTTGCAATTGTCGGGTGATGCGCAAACATAAACAGAGATTAAAAGAAGAATGCGTATGAGTAGAGAGAGAAACAAATTCATGAATGGCGAGTTCTAGAGAGAGAGAGAGAGAGAGAGAGTGGAGAAGCACCTCGATCTGAGAGAAGGGGTAGCCGTGGGAACGGAGGAAGTTCTCGACGGCGTCGTTTGAAGTGGCGGCGTTGGGATTGGCGTGAGAAGCGGCGGTGCCGCCGACGGCCATCCGACCGCCGGCGTCGTCGGAGCAGCAATTGCCCATTCTTTTCTGAATTCTAATGTCGTTCTTTGTCAACTTCTCTTCTTCTTCTTCTTCTTCTTTTGGACCCCCAAAAAAAAAAAAAAAAAGCTCAGAGACTCGCACACAAAATACTTCTTTGCTCTCGCTGACTCTTCAAATTATCTAAAATTTTGTTTTTCAAAAAATTTTATTTGTATAGAATTTCTATTTTATTACTTTCCAACTTAATAAGGAGTAAGTAGCAAAAAAAACCAAAAAATAATAATCATAAAGAGTAGTACTAGTAATAATATCAAAAGTAGTTGTAGGCTAAACTTAGTTGTAATTTCAACCCGTTATCTTCGATATTAAGGTTCAGAATACGTATTTTCCAACCCAATTACAAAACAAACAAAAAAACAAAAAAGTCAAACGGAAAATCAAAGTAAAAGAAAATAAGCATGTAGTCTACTAGAAGTAATTAAAGAGAAACTAAACGAGAGTGTTTAGAAAGTATGAGTGGTTGAGTTGGTAAGGTCTATTTAAGGTGCTTGAATTATAAAAATAAAATAAAAAAAATTAGTTTAAATAGAAAACGGAAGAGGAAAAATGCTACTATTAACTCTTAGGAGACGTTTGGAATGGAGATTCGTATTATGATTCGAATTATAGTTCGTGACTCATTCAGTTCGCATATTTAAGCTTTCAATTTGAGTTAATATGCAATTTTATGTGAGAGTTTTTTATTATAGCATGTGACATTTTATGATAATTTTTAACTGTAATAAAACTGAAATTAAAAATTTAAATTAGTAAAATGAACGGAGCCTAAATATTACTTTAAAAGCAAGGATTACATGTGTAAAGAATAGTAATACTCGTTTTGTGATGTCAAAAGATAGTCATGTCACTTAATTAGTATCATTGCTAAAGAAGAATATATGTTATTTTGCTTTAAAAACAAGAATATATATTGGCCATTAGAGATATGAGATGTATGTAGCCCATTAAAATAAAAAGTAAAATATGGGGAGAAAATAGAAATAAAAAACCGCGTTTTGGCACAAAAGTTGTTAAAAATAAAGCGCGTTCTTTTTAATGTTTGTTTTGACACCACTCCTCCCCATCCGACCGTAACCCATTTCTTTCCTCCCTCTTTTTAAAAAGAAGAGGATCTAATCTATATACTTGTAGATAAAATAGTAGGCCCTTTATTAAATACAATATAAAATAAGAGAATTCTATAATAAAATACCAAGACCAAAAAAAAATATCTTATAGAAAGCGTGTTAATCTAATCAAATCATCCATTTAATTATTGGTGTCTTAAATGACATGTTTAACCTATGTCATTTAATAGACTCAAAAATAAAATATAAAATAATCAATTTTTTTATGAATGACAAAAAAAAAACAATTGATAAATATTTCAAATTTTTATAATCACGTGATATGATTTGGTTGTTTAGACATTATTTTAAACATTAAAATTAAATACGCGATTTGAGTCCGTAATAATCATATTCGTTAATTGTATGAGAATTAAATCAGAGAAATTTATATACATATAAATAAAGAAATTTAATGAAAATTTAACCGTTAAAAATTATTTTATAAATATATATTTTTTTTTGACAAAAAAAGGAAAAATTCCTTTTTCTGGAAAGGATAAATAAGGGGCCATCCACCTTTATTTGGTAGAAAACAGGCCACCCACTTGGTAGTAAGTTAGAGGCGAATTTTGTCGCTAGAACAGAAAGAAAGCATAATGTTCAACTATATAGTTTTTTAATTTATTCTTAACGTTTCTATTGGGATGTGCTCACTAGTCACTACTAGTCATGGTCTTTGAAAAGTTCCGTGAAGTTACAAGCTCTGCATCTTTCAACTAGTAATAAGACTTTGTGTCCATCTTTAACAAAATATATAAATAAATAAACATTAATGTCTTTCGGGTCCATCTTTCGTACAATTCCATTTTGGAGAAAAAAAAATATATATGAAAATAATACTATATCAAGTTATAATACTATGGTGTTTTCCTTCATCTTTTCATTTCACCTTCATTCTAAATTTTGTCAATCCTTTCTCGGATGGAGATCTTTAAGTATTTTTCTCACCGGTAAATTTGTTCGTTCTCTATTCTTCTATTTTTTTAGTCTTAGTATTTTAAATAAGAGAAATAGTAGAAAATATGTCAATATGAAAAGCTTAAGAAAGTATATAGGCTAATTTTTAGTTATAGAAATTAATATGCCATAATTTGTCAAGTTATGGTTCATAATCAGATAAGTTATGGACAAACTTGTCAAGTTATGATTCATAGCCAGACAAGTTATGGACAAAAATCGTGAATTATGGACAATAACTTGTCAAGTTATGGTTCATAACCAGACAAGTTATTGACGAAAACAGTAATTTGGCCTATTTATTAACTTATGTAAACTATTGGCCTATTAATTTTAATTCATCTCAAGTCTTGGCATATTTTTCTCTTTCTCCCTTTTAATAAATAAAAATATATGTCCATTTAGAATAGGATTTTCAACTTTATCTCTCCCTCACACAAATTAGAGAAAAAAGAGTGAACTACAGCCAGAGTTCGGGGCCGCCTTCGAGCGTATCACCGGGCTCCAAGCCATGAAACTTGATCTTCTGGCTTGTCTCGTCGTGAGCTTCTCATTATTGGTGGCGGTGTACTATGTGGTGGTTTTGTTTGGGTGAATATAAACCAGTTTAAAACTTAGAGCCAAATAGATGGGCTTATTTTCCAGGCGAGTTTGTCGTTTGTTGGCTTAGATCTCTTGGCCGGATATCTCCCTCGATGACCCATTGGCTAGTTGCCCTTCACCGAAGGCTTCTAATAGTGGTAGTCGGAGGTTTTTTCTGGTTTTTTTATGTAATTAATAAGGGCAGCGGTCTCTCCATCGACCCTCGCTTGTTTTGCTGTTTGTTGTTAGTTTTTGGTGAGGGGCTTAAGGCCATTTTGTATGTCTCATGATAAGATTGTCTTGGTCCGGCTAGAATTTTTTCTATGTTGTGTAGATATCTCCTCTTTGTAGGGTTTGATGATCTGTCCCTCCAGCTCTCTAAACCCCATTTTGATCAGAGGGATTTCTTCAATTGGAGCTCTATGTGTGCTCATTGTTAGTGTACCGAGATGTTTTCTCATTTTCAGGCCTCGAACGTGCGTCTATCCCTCTAATAAGTTATTAACATTGTATCGAAATAATTGTTTATCAATTTTTAATTGAATGCAATTTCCCTTTAAAAATATATGTGTCCATTTAAATCTCATTTTATTATAGTGATAAGTACTGTACACATAGATATCTTAATCTGATTGTCTTGTATTTATTTATTTATTTATTTTCATTTCAAATCTGAAGGATTTTAGACGGAAAAGATTGCATCGGCAACATGTTCGTTATTATACCAATCAAAAGAGCCTACATTGAAGGCTGAGGGCGTTTTAAAAGAAGTGAAAATTTATTTCTTGTGGAGCTCGATTTATTTCCTTTGTAATATTACGTACACATAATTGAAACATAAAGTAAGAAATTCAAAAATCCTCCGAACAATCTAACTTCTATTCCTCTATTCCTCACTATTAAGAAATTAGACGCTCGAATTTAATACTAGCAATAACAATAAATCTCAGAAGAAGAAGAAAAATAAGAATACACAAGATGTATAATGGTTCATGTCCACAATGAGCTACGTCTTTTTTCAACTGCTATAAAAATTCATTAAGATGGAAAAAAAAATATTTACAAGAGAAATCGTAAGCTTATTAACTCGTTGTATTTTTCTCTAATCTCTCTAATTAATCTTAAAATAGTACCTTTCAAATGTGAAATTCCCACGACGTCAACGACCTTATCGTGAAGGTCGATGAACGTTTTATTTATGTATCAAGATAATAATTAGGCTCCACAATTGGCACTCCTCACTTAGTGGGATTTTTAAAAGGGGAATCCAAAAGAGAAATTACTTTCATCTAACGCTCTTATTGGGGGATGTTGTCAAGGGTCATGGTGTTGATAGCTTCCGGGAAGATCAATAATGGTTTCCAAGCAATATCATGGCAGACTATTCAGTATTGACCAACTAGTACTACACTACTATTGCATATTTTACCAAAAACATGAAAAAGTAAAAAAACCAGTACCAACCACATATGTATAGAGGGAAGTAATGAAGTCTATGGATAAATTATGCGACAATTACCCCGTTGACAATGTCATTGACTCACAATCACAAATGTTAGTTAAAGCGTCATTTTTTTTTTCACTCTCTTTATCATTTTTTATATTCACTATTTGTTATGTGGTCCGTAGACTCCATTATTATATTTACTGTTTAAATAATTATATATCATGTTAATAGAGTCTACGTGTCAAACAGTAAATGTAAAAAGTGACAAAAGATTATGCTAGCATTTCTTAAGTTTTAGAACATGTTTGGTAGAAAGGTTAAGAAAGAAAAAAAAAAAACATAGGATTGAAAGAATTAGTAAAAGAATTTTAGGATTTATGATTGTTTGTCAGAAAAGATAAGTTTTTTTTAAAAAAAAAAAAAGGATAAGAGGGAATGAATTCAGTGTGGATTTTAAAATCCTTCAAAGAATTCAATTTTGATTATTCTTAATTTGGAGGGATTTTTAAAATGGTTATTAGTAGTGCTAGTCTAAAATTATGAACATGTTGTGTCACTTTGCTTTCTAAATTTTAATTTTTACAAATCAGTTCTACTACTTTTTTGTTAGCCGTTTTTGGTTCTTGACAATAAAATTGACAAACGATGTCTAAATTTTATAGAGATAATCATGTCCTAGTCACATAGTAACTGAAATTTTTACAGAAATAGATACATTAAATGTAAATGATTATCTTAATTTTTATTAAAGCACTTAAAAACTAAAATTTGATTTAAATATTTATGTAAAATTTCAATTACTGTGCGTCAATTTCAGTTTTAAGGACTAAAACTGTATTAAAAAAAAATCAAAGTTCAATAATTAATTAATTTATCAAAATTAATTCAATACTAATAATCCTTTTTAGTATCAAATCTGATGTTTCATTTCATCGAAACTTTACTGGCTATCGAATTTGCCAGCGAAGTTCCTTTTTACTGCAATGGAAGTTCTTTTTTTAGCAATATAGAAGAAATTATTTTGTGTCCCTTCATAAAATTTGATGTGCTAGTATCGATGTTTCCGTCACTTAAAATAAAA